ATATGTGGCTCAATAAACGACCCTCCCAACCCATCGGCGACAATGGATATAGGAGATTCCCTCCCCCCCCCCTGTCTGGCCGCGCCTTTGTCTTTTTTTCCAATCCAAGAGGCCTAGCCTCTGAGCACACGGACTACCTGGTTGTTCCGTCAAGTACCCTGGGAGATCACCATCCGGTCTTCAAACGTCCATCCAATGAGCTCATCGGTTGGTGGGTCGGCCCTCTACCCTCGAAAGTGAAAGTAGGACCTCCTCACAACCGTCCTCTTGAGAGATTTATCAGGACCCCCCCAAATTTGTAGTCGTTGCCAATCGTGGAAACACCGCGCTTGGGGGTGCACGATGATGAACACCTGTGGTTTCTGTGCAGGTCCTCACGACTCAGTGGAGTACAAAACGAAAATTCAGAACAAACTCCAAATTGTTCCACTGTGTGTCAGCTGTCAAGGAAGTCACCACACTTGAAATATTAACTGTCCACAGTGTCCTGGCACTCGCCCAGGAAAAGCCTACCGTTCTCCACCGCCCTCGTCTCTGATGGAGCCTCTGTCAACTAAATCTCACTCCACTCCACTACTGCCTTTTCCAGCCACCGAGGAGTTCCCATTGGTCTCTTCTCCCCTACCATCCCTCCTATTAACTCCATCCCCGACATTCTCACCCCTACCACCCACCCATTCCCTCCCTCCTTCCATCCCTCTCCCGCCTCTCTTGGAACGAGGTCATTGCTGGCCCTGCCACACAGTCACCTAAACCTCCTCCCCACCCGGGCTCCTACTGTCTCTCTCCAACGCCACTACCTCTTTCTCACCTGAGCCCTCATCTTCCGTTTCCGTCATTACAACCTCCTGCCCAGTTGGGCTTTCACTCCTCCCTGTCGCCACCTCCAGCTCCTGCACAGGTACACCAGGATGTTTATATGGAAACAATCGCCACTCCAAGCAAATCACATTCTCTTTACCCAACTCACCTCGTTTGTGGAGACAGGTGTGACGATGAAGAAACAACAACAACTCATTATGGGAACCCTAACCCAACAGCGACGCACTCTGCAGAACGTGGTGACCCACTTTTTTCCTTCTCTCAAGATGGAGGATCCATCTCTCTCCTACTCTTTCCTATCCAGTATCTTCAACAGAGTTCAGCGCCTCCTACGAGGCCCCATTCATCCCCTGCACTAGCTCTTCACTTCACACCGGAGGACGCTCTCTCCTCTTTTTACAATGAGGCATCCAGGGCCTTTTTTTTTTTTTTTTTTTAGGTTAAGGTGGGGAAAGGATGGAAGGCATGCTGGGGCTCAAGGCACAGCCAGACATGAGGGATGGAGAAGTCACAACATATAGTCGTGGGGGGGAAGGTTGGAAAAGAAGTTTAATGAGTTAAACAGAGGTGGACGACACCCCTTGTTTTACATATTACAGAGTTTGTTGGCTAACTAAGGTAACCTAGGATTTAGAATGAGGTTGCACAATGGTTATTTTAGTAGACAATGACTAGATTTATTTTACAATTACAAGTTTATTAACATCTTATACTGTATATCGTTATGGACTCACTTGATTGTGACTTGTTAAATGTGAATTTATATCATCTAAGTTTTAATCTAAGGTGGATCACTGTGGCGGACATAGATGGGTCGCGGGTTGGGTTGTTGTAGTGCGGGCAGACTCCGGGGCCACCAGGCGTGGGGTCTCCCTCCGTTGATGTCTTCCCCGCGTAGGTGGTCTGGGCTGTGAGGGTCGTCCAGGAGCTTGTCCCAAACCTTCTTCCCTAGGCGATGGAACCTGAAGTTCAGGGCATCTGTTATATTTCTTAGGCGGATGGTTTCCACTGTCTCCTGGTAGGGTGGCGCTTGGCCACTGGCTGATCTCAAACACTTGTTTTGGAAGCTCTGTAGTTGTTGTAGTCTAGTCTTCCCGAGTGTGACGAGTGGTATAGATGGGTACTCCAACACAGGCCTCACCAGTGCCTTGTACAGGTGAGCTTGTATCTTCTCAGGCATCAATTTAAAACGTTTTAATTTGGCTGCGACGACTTTGGCTTTATTTAGTCTGTCCTTTACGTGGGGAATGATGCCCGTCCGAGAAATGATGAGGCCGAGCAACCTGCATTGTTTAGAGTACTCAATCTCTTCGTCGTCGATCATCAATGGGGCCGGCTTGAATTTGGCTATGGGTATGACCTCAAATTTCGTTTTGTTTGTTTTTATTTTCCATTTATGTTCATACTCCGAGATCTCCTCTATTGCCCGAGCAGTGAGTCGCGCCATCCTTGCTGTGGACCTTCCTGGGCAGGTGACGATCTGTGTTTCATCGTCGGCATACATGACGTACTCGCTGCCGACGATTGGGGGTGGCAGGTCAGCCGTGTAGAGTGTGTAAAGGGTTGGTGAGAGACAAGAGCCCTGAGGCACGCCGCTCGATAGTGAGAATTCTTCTCCAAAATGTTCTTGCATCTTGATTTTGGCTCTGCGGTCCATAATGAAGTTGCACAGCAAGCGTGTTAGATTTTCGGGTAGCCCCAGTTGTATGATCTTATACTGCAGCCCTGCGTGCCAAACTTTGTCAAACGCCTTGCTGACGTCCCTCAGTATTATATTGCACTGCAGGCGGCCAGTCATGGCATTGGCGATCTGCTCGTAGGCCTGAGCTATGGCGGTGGATGTGCCTCGGTACTGGCGGAAGCCGAACTGGCGGGGATTATGCACGTCTTCATCCTCCAGACACATCCGCAATCGCTTGTTGACTATTTTTTCGAAGATTTTGGCAGGTACCTCTAGCAGCGATATTGGTCGAAAGTTTTCGACTTTGTTTGGAGGCTTCCCTGCTTTTGGTATGAGGCGAATAACGGCGATTTTGAACATCTTAGGGAAGTATCCAGAGGCGAGGCAGGCGTTGCATATATGAGCAAGCCTCTCTATCATGTTGTCGGGGAGTTGAGCCAGGATCTTCTTGTTAATGTGACTTTGACCAGGTGATTTGTTTTAAAACCCTTTTATGACGGCTGACACATCTGCAGGAACTATGGGCTCCGTCAGGTAGCTTCCGTCCACCAGTCTAGTGAAGTCAGTCCGTGGGAGCGGCTGGAGCAGGTGCTGATGGTCTGCAACTGACCTAAAATGTCCTCCTCAAACTCCCTGTCGAAGCCCTCGTTCTCCTGTTCACTAATGGTAATGATCTTTCGTAAATATCGCCGATGTAGTTGTTCTTGGTTTTCTTCCTCGAATATTTTTACGTTGTTTTGGTTGAGCAGGTAAGGGACCGTGCTAGAGGTGGAACCCATCAGTCGCTTGATCCCTTTCCAGAAGGCAGCAGAATCGCGGTAATTGTTGGCTGCCTCCCACAGCAAGGCGGCCCACTTTTGTTCATGTAGACGTTTGCTCTCGTGCTGGATGTCCGTCTGTAGCTCTCGGTACCGGTCTCTCAGCTCTTGCGTCCACCCGCGGATACTGGCTAGCTGTCTCACGTGAGCGTACTGGACACTGAGCTGCCTCAGCTGGTGACTAGTATGAGGATGGGGAATGGTCCTGTAACTGGTGGTCGGGATGTTGCTGTCCATCTCCGTCTTCACATCCGTATACCATTGTTCAACCGCGTCGTCGATGTCATTGGGGCTGGCTTCTTCCAGGTTTCTCCCCTGCTTGAGACTGAGAGACTCCTTGAAGGAGTCCCAGTCTGCCCGTTTGAGGTTTGACCTGATGTTGGCGGGGATCATAATGGGATTGGATGAGAGCGTCACGACGACTGGCAGGTGATTGCTGGTACTGATGGGTCCGGCGGTAACGTGCCTGTTCAGGACGGCCTCGTTGTTAGAGAGGATTATGTCAGGTGTTGTGGCACTGGCACGTCTGATCAATGTCGGGAAATCTGGCCCGAGGTGTTGCAGTTTTCCCCTTCTGATGTTGTCATACAGCGCCACACCGACGTTGTTCTCATTACCGTGTCCTAGTATGGCGTGGCGCGCATTTAAGTCCCCTATGATGTATGTTGGTTTTCTGTGACCAAAACCAAAATAATATCAATTTTGTTTGGAATGTTTATACCATGAAATTTATTGTATGGGCAGCTAATATCTATTGAATTAGTTTATGTGCTTAGTATATTCAAAATAGTATTACAGTGCTGCACAATAAAGCACAATTAATTATCTAATAATATTGACTTAACAGAGCCGATCTGCCGAGAAGGTTGGACAACTCCAGCTGGCCGACTCCCACTGGGAAACTCACCCCATCCAGTGACGTCATAACCAATCACAGAACTTTTGATTGATTGATTGAAACATTTTATTTAGGTTAGGTTAGGTTAGGTCACGTGACTTTTTAGCCACTTTAAACCTTATTTTTGACACTTTTTGGCCCAATTTATTTAAAAATATCATTACCATAGTGAATTTAAGCGTTTTCCTTACCCATTGACCGGCCATCTTAGGAAAAAATTTCGACCACCAACACGTCCATTGTGTGTAAATGAAGCAGAAAGTTAGATCAGCAGCCTGAGACTTGGTCACACCTTTTGTGTTACCATATGGCAGTAGGGTCTATCATTAGACAACACATTATGCTTCCAATATCTTCCCAAGCGGTAGTACCTCCCTGTTTGATAGCGGTCTACTACAGGTAAACCAAAGATCCATTTATTTAGAGAATTTTCGCTGAAGGCTCTCCCATGAGTGATGCCTCCAATACTCTTCATATTTTTCATCAGTGTTCAATTGTCATAATGGTTGCCCCTCGTGTAACGAGGATGGTCGGCCCAAGGGCCACGAAGGCGTGAATTTGTTTAAGATGTAGAAGCTGTCGCCAACACAACAACCACAACCTAAGTTAACGAGTTGCATGACCCAGTGTCAAGGAATAGTCCGAGAAGACGGGACAACTCGCCAACTGCACTTGCTAACCAGTCCCCCGGAATACGATCCGCAAATCGATTAACATCCAGGATCCCAATTATTGATGGGTAGACAGAGTCAAATGGCGTAAACAAAAATTGCCAATAATTTCAACCTGCCTTGGGATCGAACCAAGGTCCACTAGCTTGCGAGGCGAGAATGCTGACCACTACACCACAGGTCGCCACAGATCGTACACCACTTCAGTACTTTTCTGAACTTCGAATTGTGAAATAACCCTCTGATGTAAATTTGTGAAACTCATTGTATGACATGTTAAGATGAAGAGAATCCATATCTTGAAGGTAGAGCTGGCAGGATTTGGCGTACAGAATATATCCATTTGCAGAAAAAATGGGCAATATAACTCTTATGCAATCTAAATGGAGATTCCAATTTCCCATGAGCTCTGCCTCAATGAAATGCAATGCGACAGTCATAAGATCAAAGTACTGTAACCATAACTGAGCTCTCTCTCCTCTTTGCATTAGAATTGCAATCTGATCTGTGAACTTCATTTGGATTTTCATAAGAACATTATCGCTTTCCACAGAGTTGAATTGGAGGCTGACTCTTGAAAGTTGAGAAGATTTGTTGTACATGTTGTTTGTCAGTATCATCAACAGCAATTTCATGAAACATGATTTCTGCCAGTGCACAATATGTCAACAGATGTGCTAGAATAGCTCATGCATAGGCATGTCCTGAAAGCATATGAGGTACAGATGAAGAAGCGAATACTGTAGACCATAGCTCTGAAATTGCACTGCCTACCATAATGTAACCAATTGATCCGAGATATAACATTAAACGATGAAATCCTCCCAGTCTCACAATAATGTTTGGAAGTTCACCTTCTTGATGATCTTTACCTGCCGACACTATATCCTTAGCTTTCATATACAGTGGTTGGTCAAAGGTAACAAAGCACGTCATTTGTTTGGATTTCTTTGTTTCTTCAGCAGCAAATTGTAAGGCAGTTAGCACTGTGTTGTACTCTGTCGGAGGCATATTAATGAAAGGTAGTGCAAGAATCTTTGTCTGATCATAAGGTAGAGCACCTAGTATGGCTTCCATGAAACCTTGCCATGATGGGAAAGAAGAGGTCTGTAGGAAGTTTCCATACACCCATAGAACATCCTTTGGTAATGGAATTGTGACATTTGAACAAGCTTCACTTTTGTACATAGTTTGCAGTTTCAAAGCATTCAAACCTTACTTTCGTTGTCCCTGGAACATTCGTATTATCCTTTGTCCAGGTTTTGCAATCAATTTTGAAGATGGAACAGTTCGCAATTTGGTAATTTCCTGATTTATTACAATATTTGATGAGTTATGCATTTAATTCCACCCATCGAGTGAAGTGTTGCCTTGCCAGTTAAGGTATTTTTGTTAAAATCTGCATTGTCAAAAACGTATTGACAAAAACAATCTTCGTCCACCTCAGGTTTCCAAGAAGATACAGTAGATTACTCGAACAATGTGACATCATTAAAGGTAAAACAAAATCCCAAGTTTGACACTGTGCTGACAATACTTTTAGAAGCAACTTTCCGAAATAAGTACACCGACAGACCAAGTAGTATGGAAGATAGAAACGATATTGGCTGGGTTGCAGCAATTATTGAATGAACGATTGCTGTACGCTGTCTTCCTACTTTTTCCTTTTCGCTATTTCTGTTTTTTTGGATAACTCTATCCCAAAAAGGCATGCAGTGTCTCAGGAACCACATCTTCTGCATTCTGCATAAAGTTTGTGACGTCTGGGTAATCTGTGGTGTTATAAGCAGTTGTTCTAATGTCCTCTCGAACTATAGTTGCTGCAGTTTTTACAATTCTTAGCTGCTCATCTTTCTCATTTTTCTCTCGCTCCGAGTACCAAGTATTAATCAGTTTCAGTCCAGAGCCACGGAAACAAACAACTGTTGGTCTTTTCTTCATCCGTACAAACATCACTCCATCTCCGTATGTGCTCAGTAATTTCGATTTCAGTGTTTTCTCTGTTAATGATGAACCTTCCGGCATATTTTCTTCAAGTTTCTTCATCAAGTCGTGTAAAGAGAACTGGCATTCCTCAGAGTCATCAATATACACGCACAAGTTTTCAAATGCAGAAACAATTTGTTCATTTCAGAGTTGATGGTCGGTTGCATGCAAATTTTGAGTAACATTTTCCATGATAACGCGCTTCTTCTGCTACAAGGTACATGACGCTGTTGACTCGTCTCGATACTTTGTCATCCCATTCGTCTTTCCTTTACTCAGCATCCTCCAGTAGTTTGTTTTTCATAGTCAGAGTACGAACTTCCCACATAACTTCTCGTTTATCCACAGTTTTTTTTTCCTTTCTGTAGCAATACCACATTTTTCACCACAGAACAGACAATTGTTTTTGAAATTAGATTACTCTCTTTGTCTTAAGGCTCCTGTGTTTGTTTTTAAATCTCTGGCGATATTTTCCTCCTCAATGCACTTACGTATGCAAACTTTATGCATTTCAATTGTGTCCACTTTCTTTAACATCTCAAAATTACCGTCTTTTCGGATTTGACTTACACGTCTCAAGTTGCCGATGCCCTCCTTCGCATTCACAGTTTCACCCCCATTTAAACTCTTCTTGAAACAAAAACAATTGCTCGTTGATGCCATACAGAATACCTGGAATTTCATTCACATCTGAAAAAGAAAAGTGAATTAGATAAAACGTTCATAACTTCATAAAAACTTGTCTCTCATCTACACAAATAGAGTACTTCCTACTCTACAATTTCATTTAGGTGCATTTTTAATGAGAAATTAGTCGCTTGAGATATATTGATGGGAAACTGAGAGCGAGACGGAAATATCTTGATCTACACTCAAACTCGCCTTCCACTTCCGGCCTTTTTTACGAAAAAAACTATAACTCCTAGAGTAAAAATGTACATAGACAATCTTGTGAAAAATTTTAATTTCAAATATCTTTAATATATTTTTTTCGTCCGATGCACTGTTTTCCAAACAATAGGGAAAATTTAGTAAAAATGCCCCCTTCAGAGGGGTTTGGGCCCCCAAAAATGGGGGTTGCTGCAGTCGGACGGAGGGGAACTGTTTTGATCTTTATTTGCATAGCTTTCAGGAGTATGTGTGAAAAATTTAAACTCTTTATATTTTGTTTTCGGCTATTTGTTGGTTTTCGTGCTTATTTGACAGGACTATTCAGGAAACCATCTCTGATGATGTTGCTCTACTCTGCATCTCTGGTTATACTCTCTACACCCTGCCTCGTCACTTTGGACAAGCTGGTGGTCTGCTCACCCATGTACGTAACACCATTCCATCTGTTTATTTTCCTTCACCGGTCTCACATGGACCCCCGTCTGAAACTACTTTCTGTCTCCTTTACTTTTGGTGACCGGACCCATCGTGTAGTCACTATTATTTCAAGAGGGATGCACTGAACCTGCCTCCAGGTTCTTCACAACTTCCATGATGGGGTTCCCACTCTTATTCTCGGAAACTTTAATGCACGCCTCTTAGCCCCAGATTATCCCACTCCATGTACTCTTAGCGGATCGCATCTCTCACAGTTTCTTGCTGGGGATGACGATTTTCGCTTTATTTGTCCTCCTGACCCTATTCACCTCCTCCGTAGTTTCCTTGATGTTGGCCTACTACTGAAGGGCCATACCTCCTTTCATCCTACCGTCTGCATAGAGCCTGCTCTATATAGTGACCATTTTGCGTTACCACCCACCTCAGGCTCTCCTTCTCTGCTCTTACATTGATCCCTTCGCCTCCGTCTTACACAGGATGCTGTTCCCTCTTTTATCCAACACCTTTCTACCTGGGTGGATTCCTATGACTTTGTTGATGCGGCGCATGACTCTGCCAATCGCGCAGCCCCTCCACATCCTCCCCGTTACCCCAGAAGTACCGTCAACTACTAGTATCATCTCCCTGTAATAAGACATATCCGGCAGGTGACCCGTGATTTCCACTCTGCCATACGGAGGTCTTGCTCTCCAGAAGACTGAGAGAACTTAAAAAATCTGGTGCACTTTTGCGAATCAAGAGCCCCGTCGGATTCGTGAGTCGGACTGGCTTCGATTCACGGAGTCTCTCTCGTTCCAGTCGTGACACCTTTATGTCTGGAATAGGATTAACGCTATGCGGGGTACTAGACGGAGGCCTCCTCCCCATCTTGACCATGCTTTCTTTGCTTGCTTTTTAAAGGAGGCCTAAGCGCGGGCTTCCTCCCCTGAGGCACTTCCAGATCCACTGCAGGGAGCAGTGCATGCTCGCATTGATGCGTCTGAACCTTTTGTTCATGCTACTCTTACTTTTTCTGCTCCCACCGATCATCCTATCACATAGTTGGAGCTGAACAATGCTCGTCGCTGTGGAAAGACATCTCTCCTGGGAATGACGAGATAACCTACTTCGTCCTCATCGCCTGCACCTGATGGCCCCCCGCTAATCCTCTACACTATTGTCATATGCATCTGGGGTTCTTCTGTCTAACTGGAAAAATGCAACAATTATCTCCATCCCTAAGCCGGGAGACCCTGAGAAATATAGACCCATTAGCCTCACCTCTTGTGTTTGCAAGATGATGGATAGGAGCCTCCACCGTCGCCTTCTTCACACCATTGGCGGCTTCCACAACTCCCTTAATGGCCTTATACAACATCACAGCACAGCATGCTTCATTGCTACCTTTTATTGTAACCAGACTGCCCGTGTCTAAGTCTTCCTTGACATCAAAGACGCCTTTGACACAGCTCAATCTGCACTCATTTTAGCTGAAATTGCGCAGTTAGGAGTTAAAGAAAAACGTCTTCAATTGATCGCCTCTTTCCTTACTGGACGTCAGGCCCGAGGTTGCGTTGAACGTTTAATGCCTTCTTTTCAAGAAATGAGCCTCGGCATCCCTCGAGGTGGACTTCTAAGTCTCACTTTGTTTAACACTCTCATGCACTCAGTTGCATCTCTCCAGTGGCCGACAGGAGTTGTTCACTCATGATATGCCGACGATGTCCCTTTCCAAGCCTCTGACCTCCCCAGCATACAGGAAGCTCTTGATCTGGAATCCGGAGAGTGTGACTCACCTGATTTTCGCCTTTCGACTGCGAAATGAAATGCCATGTGTCACGGTCGTGTTGTCCCTCCCCACTTCTCCTATCAGGAACACCCCTAGACTAG